CAACTACTAAACTCCTAGAATAATCCTAAAAATGTGCATAGAGATGAAGATGAAAGAAACTAACTGAGCGGTAACTTTCAGAATAGCTTACATTTGTATATGAATAGTCACTGTTTGTAAGAAGAAAAGACTGTTTCCCACTTTCACGAATTTGCAATAGCAACTGTTTCAAACGTTCATCTTTGATAATATATTTTTCCTTATTATCCAATATAATCTGTTTCATATTGCTCTATAAAACATAATAATATGAAAATTGCAGATTTTTTATGACATAGATGCAACGTGTGCAATATTTAACAGCCATTAAATTAATAATTATGTCTTTTGAAGTCTAATAGATTAAAATTTCATAGGTGAAATCTCGTGTAGATAGATAATGAATAGAATAAGCAATAATCAAACCTCGAAATGCACCCAGTCGACCGAATTACGTATATCTTGAAATATAGAACGATATGACATATAAATATCACCACTTTTTATCCCGGTACGATCTTCAGTCCTGCAAAATATTCCTTTTTTCATGTAAACATTTCCCAGTAAACTTTTCTTTGAAACAACCGATATAACCTACGGTACATAATTGGGACTGTTGTTGAAAAAATCGATGATGCATGCAACCAGATAAGTTTCGGGAAGGTTGAATAAAGTGTTCAGTACATAGACTCGATTTTCGGAGAGATGCAGAAATTTATTCGGATATAGCTCTTCAATTTCAGAACTGAAATGACCAATTATTAAATGTCAATTATTTATTATCAAAAGTTTAATAGTTTCCTTTGAATATCTTATTTGACATTCCACAGTGCATAACTTTCAAAAACTGTCTCCTAGTGATTGCTTAAATATGCTTCTTTCAATTACAACAACTACAACAGCTAGCCGTCTCAAACCATCGTAAATGAGTGCACAATTGGACTGTGATTTATATTACCGACTTCCCAAATATACCAGCCTTAAGAGCTGTCGACTCCATTAATTTTCATTTGCAATAATCTAAAAACAAAGCAAACTTACGGCTTCATGTAACGAAAGCCATGGACACCAACAAGAATGTTCCCAAAACCATCTACTTTCAACAAATTTCCATACACATGATCGAACCAAAGGCCTCGTACTGGAAACAAAGCCTTGTATTTGAATGATCGCAATTCTTCCGGATATCCTAGACTTATCATACGCTCCACTACCATATCAAATGTTACAATTTCCAGATCCGGTGATCTGTACACTGAAATCGTGCAAATAAAACGATTAGTTCCATTAAGTTAAACAAGTTACTTTGTGGAAAACATCATCAAGACTGTCATGTATAAATCTTGATTCAGGGAATTGTTCTTCAATCAAAAAACATTGAAAAAGTTTATACAGTTGTGAGTGATGGTGGTAAATTCTATTCTGCATTCTTCCATTTCAAATGTCTTAGTTTTGCTAGACAGCATATAAATTTGAAACAATAAACTACGATTTTTGTTGAGAGTACGACTCACAAAATGTACACCGGAAGAAATGCCTCAGTCTCCACAAGATATCATCGTAAAATAAATTACGCACCCGCCAATGTATAGTCCATATCAAAACCGAAAAATCGGATCTTCTCCATTCGAAGGTTACGATTTACGAAGACCCTGAAGTAGTCCAACTCAACAAGCAAAGCAACTAAAGAGATTTTATAACGTAAGTAATAAACTCTACCTAAATAAGTTAGATACCATCTAGAGTGTTTTTTAAAAGTAAACGAAATTCTGAAATAAAAAAAGTGTGGGAAATGAACCCGTACACTAGACTCTGTCAGAACTATTGTGTCAAAACCTTTTCGAAGAATATAGCTGACAGCACTTTAAATATTTTAGTTTTAAAAGATTAAAAAAATGATGAGAAATGTAGAGGATGATTCCGCATTCGAAGAAATTTCCGTACTTCAAATTCTAGTGCCACATCAATCGGGAAGATACAACGTGAATTGAGTTTAATTGAAAGTAGTGCTTGAACCACTGCAACAATGCATGCCCTACACTGCTAAATGACACTATCCAACTTAATAGACCAAACCTGTGAGCGGGATCTCGTTTGTAAGTCCTTCGCGCACCGTCTTCTATCATGTTCGAGATGTCGTTGTTGTTATCACTGTTACAATAAAACGTTTATCGTTGCAATATTTAAATTATCTGTGCTGCAACGTGAACACTGCCATTACCCACCAAACAATAAGTACTAAAACATTATGACACGTTCTTAAAGCAGTACGGGTCTTTTGAGATGTCGAGTAGATTTAAAATTTTCTGGAAACCGAACTGACTTCATCGTTGCCAGAATCCCCTCCCTCTCCCTCCTCATTCTGAGTTCATATCCTTTTGTTCTGTTTCACTCTTCTTTACTCGTTTCCGGGATGTTATTTTTATCATCCATCTCACTTAAACCTTCCCATATTTACGACTTTCCAAATTATTCCTGATTTTTTCATTTTAGTATTTATTGGTTTAAGATTCTACACCCCAAATGACAATAACCATGTGTTACAAAGGTTATCTGTCCAGCCGCTCTGCCTATAAATATTTTAAATTAAGCAAAGAAATGTTTCAGATTTAAATTAGTCTTTCAATCACTGGATAGCTCATAAAGAATCACAACGCTAAATTTGACATTTTATGAATTCAATGATTGAATATCTTAAGAATCGAAATAGATCCTATCCAAAAAACTGTGCAAAATCTGCTGAATTAGAAAGCAGAATTAAATGAAAAAATACCTATATATTAAATGATAGGAAGATGAAGTGATAATCATCTTGTACTGGTAATGTCTAGCAAGGCGGTCAAAAAAATAACCCAAGGTAACGAAGGTTAAAAATGCTAGAGATATGGTTTTTGCATATTGCCCTTCCTAGTCATAAGGTTGATTAGCCTTGTACTGCCATCAACCGGAAGTTCAATAAATCTTATTCACGGGATAACATCTATCCTCTTCGCAGCTTAATTTGCAAAACGGTATTGAACGTTAACGTGAGAACAGAAGCTGTACTTCTATTATCACCACTGATAAAGAAACAGTTATCAACCAAAACCACTAACAACAGATATAAGAGTTGTACAAACAGGTTGGAGAAAACTGTCAAATTTAAACAAAATATTTGCAATTTAGACTGCCGACAGAAACTGTAATATTCTCAGATGGAAATACAATTTCATCTGCCGAATATTGAAACCAACAAACATCAAACACTGCGTCCATTCGGTGCATTATTTTCTTTTTTTTGTCTTTTTTGTTTGTTTGTCTCGGAATTCCGGCATGATGTGGCCAATAAGCGGTGAATTTGAAAGCAATTAGAAGTTCTTACAGAATTACCTCCGGAAACTATGTTAGGGGATGAAAAAGTTACGAAAATTTTAGTGAAATGAGCACACATATATAAATGAAACGGGAGATTAGGACCGAAGGACCATGCAAATATTAAGACATAGGGGCAAAAGGAACAAACGAAAATCGGGATGCTGAAAAGTAAGAAAGGCTTTCTGAAATAAAATTGAGGGTAAGTACAAAAAATGATGGACGAAGAAGTGTACACTATAGCACCATTAAATAATTATGCCAATTACGTCTTTCTTCGGTTCAGCTTAATTTCAGTACATTATTATTGGACGCCTAAATGTCTCTTTAAAATAATATAATTTTTCCATCCCTACTCAAAGTGATAATGAAACAATCTGACATTGTTTTATTATCACTTTGAGTAGGGATGGAAAAAAAATATCATTTTAAAAGTAATTGATCCAATTGAATTCAATCCGTATCATTTATGGATGCTTAACTATTTGAAATAGTCTCAAATTTTAAAGCATTTAGCTCCTTATTTCATCATTTGAAATGACACATAATAGGTTAATTCTATCGCTTTCCTTTTTAAAGCGAAAATTTTCAGATATTTCCTTCCAGTTAGAGATGATTAAATTTCCTGGTCCTTTAAATTTTGGTATATTCTCAAATTTAGTAAATGAGAGATGCACCCAACTGCAAAATAAATATATAAACAAATGAAGTCATTGTAAACTTGAAGAACTTGTTTGCGGCAAGAAACAGCAGATGACTTTGAAACTGAACCAGCAACTAGACAGAAAGAAAGAAAATGATGATTTCAATTTATTTACGGGGCTTGGTGTAGAAGAGTGATTTTTAATCTTTTGGCATCTTGTATTTTGATTTGGAATTTTCATTGTTAAAATGCAAGATATTTAACATCCCTTAAATCTAAATCTTCTTGAACTTGTTCTAATTGCGTCTTCTAACCATTCTCATTTACACTATTTATTCATAACAAACTAATAAACAGCTCTTAAAACTCCGAAATATTTACTAAAAATAATTTCAACACAGGAAAATACGCATTCATTTTAATTGTAAATATATAATCACGAGGTTATGAAATACTACATTTACATGAAGCTACAATTTAATTGTGATGGAGAGGAAATGATAGTAATGCTGAAGGTGTACGAGGAAAACACGGAAATCACGTGATTCAACATCTAAAAGGAATAACAAGGTCGGAAAGCGAAAATTCTAATGGTTTGTTGGCTCAATTAACATTATCAGAATTTCAAATCCAAAAAAATGAAGACAATTCTGGAGCAACTTCAAAACATTGACTGATGATTGAAATCTACCTGAAATTAAAGCCTAGATAATTAAATGTCTAAAAGGATAGCACTGAGAGTCCCTCAAGTCTATGATATCGCATTAGAGGACTACAACGTCGTACAAAATATGTTGCCCAAACGATCTAGCGACGATAATTGAAAGCAAGTCAATTTATTATGAATTCCAGACAAGTCGAAAAACGATAATGGAGCAAAATCGTGATGAGACAAGAATTTGATTTAAAAGTGTTGGAACACTGAAAACTACAGAAAAGAAAGTCAAGCAAGAAATGTAGAATTCAATCTAGAAGGTTCTAAAGAAGATTTATCAATAAAAGGAAGAAAATACATTGCAGTCAGCAAACAAGCTGAAATAGTACCTGAATAAAATAGCTAAAGATAAAGAAGAAACTCGGATTCATGGCCTTCAACGCAGGTTTTAAGAAAGGGTGATGCAACCAAACAGTAATTAATAATTGCAAAGGAATGGGATTAATGAAACAGTAGAACGATATGGAGAGCCAGAAAACTCTTGCACAAAGTTATTATATACTGAGAATACGGGACCTAAAGAAGATCAAACGGCAAAGGAATCAACCAGATTTTCCACTTTCTGCAACAACGATTAATGGGGTAGCATTTGCTATCTCATTAATCGTTGTTGCAGAAGGTGCATGTCTTATGCAACTGCAGAGGAAAATGGAAAGCAAAATTTCCACTGCAACGCATATCATATCATAAGTCATCCCAATATGACGTGTTTCATAAATACGAAAAGGATTCAAAACGTCGAAAAGATATGATAGGAGAGGGTAGACATCAGTACAATTATCAATTTGGAACTCTCTGTACATCAAGGCATTGTTTTATACCTCATTCATTAGCGTTTAAAGAAAAAGCATCCTCATTAAATTGCAGTAATAGCAGTAATTAAAAACTCTAAAGCTCATCATAAATTTCATTGATTCACTTAAGATGTAAATCTCTTCGTGGGATAAAATCAATTTAACTACCCTGAACGAAAGGATAAATAAAATGAACTAACGTAAATTATTTTGTTCTTGACAACATTTTATTCATTGATTCACGAAATACAACAATGTTTGCTTCATTTATTTTAAAAATGTTGCAATTGTGCGCAACAAGTAAATTGTTTGTTATTGCTAATCTGGTAACAAAAATTTGTCTACAAATGCGATTAGAAATGAGGTTAATTTTTGTGAAAAACCTAAATCTTTTTCAATAAAATCTTCCACTTAACTATTTGTGTTTGAAGCATATTCCTTCTAAATTTTATGGAACTCAGTCAAAATCGTATTTATCACAATGGATCATTGCTATTCGTTTTATGCTACTCAAAAGTCCAACTAGCTTGTTATCATATTTCCAACTGACTTCTCGTTATCATATTTGTAAACAAAATATGTTTCAAATGACTTCTCGTTATCATATTTGTAAGCAAAATATATTTTATCTATTAATTTTGTTCACTTGAAATCTTTGCAATAAAAATTTGAAACTTATTAATAAGGAAAAAATGGGGATAATTATTTCCAATAATGTGAAATATTTTTTTATGTTTAGTTAGTAGCAACATGAATAAAATGAAAAATTCGCTAATAGTAACCCGTCGAGTGTTTATTTTATTTCAGTTTGGTGATATGACGAAACGAAATTAGAAGTTCACAAATGATTACATGCATATGTAATACTTTAAAGGTAAAATTAATAAGCACAGGCATTGTTTGTATATCTGAACGAGTGGAACTGATGAACTATTAAGTATGGAATTGATAAATAAATGCTGATTCAGTATAAGCTTTGCTAAATGAATAAACAAAATAAGTGAATTTTAATAAAGTGTAAGACAGAAAAAAGGATATTAGGATCAAAAAGCAAAGTTATTAGCAGCACTGAAAGTAGTAAATTTTTCACTTATCATTATTTATCAATTACTTACATTTAAGATTATTTAAATTGTAATCATTGCAGTTGTTGAACATAATATCTAAGCTCAATTAAATTTCATGGTGAAAAAAAAATAAAAAATTTCATAAGAATTAACATGTAAAAAAGTAAAAGCTATTTTACTTAACTTGAAAATGCAATGGTCTTTTGTTTCAATATCCCATATTTTATAATTGCCAAACAATTTGAAAACAAAAATATTTAAAAGACAAGGTTAACACCAGATGTTTTTTTAAGCTTTATCCATGATCTATTACTTTCTTGAACAATTTGCAGTTCAATGAAATAAAAATGGTCTTCCCATTTCAACTAAGTTTTATCCTTATCAAGAGAAAGTTAGCAAATAGATTCCTGTGAACAAATTGCTATAATCTGCAGATTGTTAAAGAAAGTAATAGATCACGACCACAGAAAGAGTCATGCACGTTTTTCCGAGTTTTTTCTAGCTCGCTTTGTGTAATCACTCATCTTGTCAGTATTTATAGACAGCTATACTTTCATTGAGAAATGATAAATTCCAGCTTTATCCAGAGAGACAGCTAGTGTGAAGGATGTCAGAAAACATCGTTTTTTTGATTTTGTTTTACCACGATAAAGTACAAAAGAGATAAAAGAGATTGCTGACTTTCTCGTTTCAACTATATTTATTATTCATTTCACCAAAACTTTACCAGACAAATTACAAAATCTTGGCTTTTAAGAACTTCTCATTGGTAAGGTTGTAATAAAACTCCTGAATGGTTGTCATCGGAAAATCAATATAGCCAAAAAATCCATTTCAGTTTTTTATAACTTTCGCTGTTGTACATACTTTTTGCAGCATTCCAGAAACTTGATCTTTTGTCTCAACATTTTGGAAATCAAAAATTCTATAAATAGATTCCACGTAAATAATATTACTTAAGAAATTGTTTGTCTTAGATTATACTTTTGAAGAGAACTGGTTTTTTTAGTTACTATGACTCATAAAAGTGCCTACTACTTAATTTTAGTTAATAATAGATACCAAACAAAAATTGAAAGATATCGAATGAGAGCTACATTAGCACTGCTGGCAAAACTTTTTAATAATGTAAACAGTAGCAGGCACTTTGGTGACGAAAAAGATGAGATAAAAGACCCTTAATTAAAAGAAAAAAAGAGAATGGAGATAAAATTCAAGAAAAAACGCTCAAAACGCTTGTCAGATGACGGTCCACTACTTTATTAATTTTTGATGACACGTGATATAGTTTGAAGCATACGCTGCTGAAAGCGGAACTCATAAGTTATTTTAAATTAGCCTATTGCATGAATTGAAAAGAACAGCAGGAGTGAGGAAGACGATGAATTTCAGCTAACAGTTTTTCTCCACATTTTTGAACAACCATCCTCTGTCTCCAAGAGACTGATGAAAAGCTAATTGATTTTGAGAGATTCAAATATTGTAAGAAAGTTCCTTGCGTATTTAGCTTGCTAGATTAATCTCTTTTGAAGCATTATTTTTCATCAGTGCCACTTAATATTTGGCACTATTAAAAACTTCTCATAGATTTGATATTACTGAACTCTGCCGGATAGAGTAGTAAAATTCTGGTTGATATATTATCGCACTGCAGGTTTTATTTGGGCATCATCTCGACGCCTGTTTAACGGTGGGAAAAACCATAATAAATTAACAGCCGGAATTACAACTCTTCTTAATAGAAGGGGGTTATTATATCGGCGTAACTTCACGTTGGACATCCAGTAATATCACATTTCAGAATGCATGCTATGCTAAATAAAGGGGAAGTTCTTTTTCTGCTTATGATGCAAATGTTGTACGTTTAGAAATATATTTAATCAGACCTCATTCTTCTAAGAAATGAAATTAGAATATATAAACAATCTCAATTACATCAACCGAAATTTTATTTTATTTATTTCATCCACATTTTCATTAGAAATTAAAAAAAGTTAGTGAAAAGGAACATACAGCAGAACCAATAGATACACGTTACAATTTTGAAGACAGAATAACTTTTCTAAGCTTATTTGTTGCCAGTAGTACGTGTGTAATCATAATAATTGAGTAACATGTAAGATAAATGGAACCGGAATCACTGCCGATATTTACACAAATGTTTTTATTACCGTATTATGCTGTAATCAATATCAATATCATATCAAGAATCCAAACTTCTAAAGGCAGGCATTTCTAAACAAAAACTGAAGTTTGAAATTTATTTAAATAAGAAAATAAACGATGGCACAAGCAAACTGGAAAGTACAACAAATGGAATTTAACAGAACTTGGCCGATTTGGCCCAAACTACAGGAAGAGTGAGTGAAGTATAGAGATTATATATTAGATGTCGTTATTTTTATTTGGAAAGGGAGCAGTTACAATAATAATATTTACTCTGTTGAAATTAATTCGAGAGAATGGTATAAATATCCATCGATAGCATATTCAGTCATGAATCGCAGAAAAAATTTACAACTTTACACTTCTTAATTTCTGGCGAAACCAGTAAGGTGCACCAACAATTATTTGCTCCTAATTTCATATAATTTCATATAATAATTTCATATAATGAAGAGTACACAACATAATCACTATCCGTTACTGTTCACGGTATTCATGTCCACATTTACTGCATTTTTAAAGAAGTTAAAGTTAACAACAACAATGATGGTAGAATTATATTGTAGGTAAGAAATATGTCTTTTTCTCGACCCCTTCCAGCCATTCAAAAACACATCGATTACGCTGCTTGGCTGTCACCTGATCTTGACCTGTAAGTTGTGTTATGTAGCTCTTCTCGTGTTGAATATTTGCCAGTGAGAAATCTAATCGGTACGTTTCACTCAAATCTGAAATAATCTATAATCTAATAATTGTTGTCTCACTGCTGACAAGAAACGATTTATTGTAAGCGAATATTTTGCAAAGCTTTTAACCACTATGGTGGAACATATGACTTCATGAGTGTACATACATTCTTTCAGTAGTCTACAAATGTTAGAAAAGTAATGATAACTTTCTTGAAAGTTCTGTTTGCGATGCAAGATTACGTGTTTACGTCATAGTACATAAACAAAGAATATGCAGAAATCTACATCTCTCTAAGCAATTTGTGGAGTAGCTGCTTATTATAGAATGTACAATATTGTGTGGTCAAGGTTTTAGAGTACAAGTACTACACTGTTCGAAAATAACCTTTGAATTACGATTCATAAAGTGACATTAAGCCTCAACATTCACTTCTCAACTTGACCCTCAGAAATACATTCACTTGAACGAATAGTATCATACGGTTAAATACTAAGGAATGCTCCAAATTTGTGTTATAGAAATATCATCCTTAAGATGTTATTATTAGAAACCAATTTACCTGATAAACTTTTCACGTTCCGAAGGAGTGTAGTGTTGTTTGGATTTGGAAATAAAGGTATTGGAAGCGATGCTTGTGAGACACGTCGCAAATCGATATCATGCGCTTCACTCTAAATAATGTATCATTTTTCGCAAAATTTTTTGACATAAGACGAAGGATTTTAAATAAACCGAACAGAAAATTATTTTTACACCACCGTCCTCACTAAATGAAACAAAAAGCATCTCACAGTGAATGGCCACAAAAATATGGGAATTGTTAAAAAATTTATGTAGTCAAGAGTATTTTTCAAATGTTTAAGCTGTGTTAAATATCATTTTTTGCGAAGTAATAAATACACTCGTACGCGATAATTATCGATCGCTGAGAAAATGAATTTTTGCGAGGACAGACTCTCCCACTATAACATACCATCATAAATGATTGTTAAATTGAATAGTTTCCATGATACCACCTGATTCTAAAATGCTCGAAATGTTATTGATATCTGATGATAGAACCATAACAAACCTGTAAATGAACATGAAGCGACCAAAGAGATGATAAACTTGGCCTTGAGACGGTCGGTTTAATGCTTAACAGCTCCATGGTATTGCTTTCAGCAGTGGTATGCATCCGAGCCACACAACTAATCATAGTAACATCGATCGAGAGAGGCAAAGCTCACTTGCCAAAACTAGCTGCTAAATTAGAACATGCTAGATATGTTCCACATGCATTACATATACGTATACATATTTATTTACTGATTTATTTATACAAGTACATATGCTCCCTTTTGATGCGTCGGTTTTCTCAAAGCATCAGTCAAGTTGTCTGATTTCATCCGAAAAATTTAGCAGCTTGAAAGAATCTACATTTGATGTCAATCACTCCTACTGATTTTTATTAGGCAACAAATATCCTAAATTCATAAAATTCAGTTACTTATAGAAATTTTTTAAAATAAAAATCCAATGACGATCCATCCTGCAGAAGTACCTTACTTTCTGACCTGCAACATTTTCATGCTCAACCCTTTTCGCAGTTTAATTTTTCACTTATATCATATAGTATTGATATTCCTGATATGACCAATACTCATCACATAAACGCCTCATGAAATTGTTTAAGTAGAATGCATATTAAATTGTAGAAATGAAATTTCATCAGGCAAAAATTTGAAAATAACTCATAAATAAACCCAATGAAAATTAAACTGCACAAGGAAAAATGAAAAATACTTCAGCAAGCATAATCTTTAAAAAAAATATGAGGTTAGGATGTTTGGAATTTCTAATTTAAATGGAAATAGTTATTGAAGAGGAACTGATTTGAATCAAATTAGGATAAAATACTTCAGGATTAAATATTTAAAGTTGAAAATAAGCAGCCATTCTTGAAATGGCATATATACGACTAGAGAGGAATGAAAATGTTCCGAAACCAGAATTTTCAAATTTTTAATCATACTCATGAAAAATTTTCAAAAAATAAATCAGAAAGAGTAAAATGTTAAAAAGAATAAGAAAGTTTATGAATAAAGTAAAAGGGTGAGAAATCTTACCTTTTTTATAAGACAATTTAAATATGATGTTTTATTAGGTAAGAAGACTTTTAAAAAATATTGCCTATACATTTCACTGTAGTCGAACTGGTTGATATAGCATTGCAATAGAATCATACATACCAGAATAGAAAAGACTGATAAAACACTGTCGTACTGATCATAAAAGTTCCAGCGTCCAATAAAGAAACCAAACTGATTCACATATTTCTTCCGGAAGTTAGCTTGTTTATATTTAAATGCAACAGTACCATCCTAAGTAAATGCATCAAATAACCTTCATCAGAATAATCCAATGTTTCTATATTGAAAACTTTTGCATAAATCTACAAACCAAAAAATCATTTCCCAAATATAGTAAAGACGAAAAGTTGAAATAAACTGTTTAAATTATAGATTTTATTCTTAACACTACAATTGATGATGAACTTAGGTCCCTATAACAATCATCCTGAAGTTTGAATTTAACAAATTTATTTTCATCAAGTTATTATAAAGTATTTCACTAAAAAAAGAATAATGTTTTAAAAAACGACGAACATTAAGCATTGATCGAAAAAAAAGCCATGTAAATGGGATAATAGAGACAGATCATCTCTTGTATTTCATTATAACTTAAATTTCCTATCTCGTCGATTTGTTTTTATTGTACTAACAATTTTTTACTGCAGTGAAAAGTGAAAGTATAGTAATTAGATGATACGTATTTCTTCAATGGTTCAAATTATGCTGAAGAAAGTTTACACACAAAATAATTCTTTAGTTATTATAGCAGTGAAACAGGTAAATAATTCATTATGTTATCACATAATTGAATCTATGACTATCGGAATTTAAAAACTTAGAAACATTTCTAGTCAATGAAAATAGAGATCTTCATAGTTTACGCCTTTTTAACTGTATGTTAATGTATCTTTAAGTTTGCAGTTCCAATTTTTAAGCATTAGAAAAACATTACAAGGAATTGTCTTATCTAACAAGTTCGTTGATTAATGTTATTGTAATTCTCTTTTAGGATCGACCCCTAACAACGAAAATCTTCAACCTTATAATCATACTATTCGAAAAAAGAGCTTTGTTGAATACCATAAAATTGTTGCAATGTGAGATTTCATTCTCGCAACAATCAAATTTTTATTAAAATTCAGAAAAATTTTCATACCAATGAAGAAATTTAGTTTCTTGATTTATTTTCTTTAAAAGCAACTTTATTTACTTGATGGATGAAAGAGGCGAAAAATGAAGCCAAAAAGGAATTTAATCAATCATAAAAAGAAAAATGCTTCTCAATTGTCAGCAGTTTCTGATTAAAAGAAACCAAAACAGTCTCCTCACTTGTTCTTCCGTCTGTCAGTATAGGAAAACCATCACAACACTTTCCCCACTGTGATTTACACATTTCAATGACCGTTCACAGTTCCAGTTTCATGTTCACAAAGGCCAAAGCAATGGGACTGCAAGAGGAGGAAGCTTCGTGGGTGGTCTAACTTCAGTAGCAGGGTATTGCCACAGTTGAATTAGAAATCGTCGTGGGTGGTCTAAGAAGTAGCAAGCAATCTCAATGAACATCGTTCTCTTTATGGTTTCATGTATGGATCACCGATGAGATTTGTTGAAAATACCAAATTTTCATGGTACATATGCCATATGGGAGGCTTTGTAATTGTAATTATTAAAAAGGTACACACCCGAAATGCATTTTGGAGTTCTCTCTGATACGAATTTCATATCGATGATAGCCTAATCAGCTAAATAGTACCTGTGTAACATTGAGAAATTGGCTAGTAGGTATTTATCATTCTTCTTTAGTATGTTAATTCAGCGCTTTTCAAATAGTAATTTAAATCAACCTGTTTATTTTGTGTTCAAATTACTATTATCGGGTATATACTAGAAGCCTAAGCGAGAGTGAATGAAACGAATTGACCTGACAACCGGATCCTTCATTGGAAATCTGACAGCAAATCTTGCCTATTCAGGAATGTATTTCATTGAAGAACTGGATGATTCTGGATAGATTGATGTACTCCAAACAATGCGAAAATAAATGCATAAGCATAATTAGTGAGAAAATTAATAATTCATAATATATATAGAGAATGTGCAATGTAACGAGAAACATGTACCTATTTTATTTATTATTAAATATTCTTAAACATTGTCAACCAAACCTAGAAAAGTAAAGCAATTATGTGGAGCTGAACCATATTATTTTATAAAACAGTGGCATCAGCTCGATAATGAGCAGTGATAAAGTGATATCAGAAATCATCTTTGGAAATGTTAGTTTTTCATGCATTACCATTTCATGACAAACGGACTTTTTGAATTATTTTTTGCATGATGAAAAAAGTTGAGAGTTTTGCAAACATATTGCTATCGTGGAAACTTTGGCCTACTACATGCATATTTGAAACCACGCTTGTGAAATGTAAAGTTGTTCCTTAATAGTTAAAATTATTTTCCGATGCTAAAAAGTTATAAAATTGAGCTTCAGCATGTGTTGTCTTTATTTTCACAAATCTTTCATCATCTTGGTTTGCATAATTGTTAGGACAAATGTAAACCAGTAAGATTTTGATATTTCTTGATTATTACACAATGTGTGATTCTCTCTTGTATTTACATGAATTTTTTTATTTTACTTTCTTAAAACAATCATCACAAGTAAAAATGCTCAAGCATTACTCATCTCACAACCTTATCGCAATTCCAAGATTACATGTTTTGATTCACCGATCAACTAAACAGCTTTTCTTTGTTTATTTGAATCTCTGAAATTATACCACCATGCCTTGGCATTTCTCTCGCACTCTATGCAAACATGAAGTTGAGAGAAAATATAGAATGAATCAATGGAGAATAAAATGATGCCCTCATGAATTCAATATGATTGATGGGAAGTCACAGGTGTTTTAACATCTGATATCATATTAATATAATTATCAGAAGTGTTGTTATTACTGATTATTTCCATTCTTAACTTTCTTTCCTTTGAAGCATTTGCATTATAAAATATTTACCCTTGAAGGTTTAAAGCTATTATTTTGATGCATATAAAAGATAAGGTGAAAGGAAAACCAATACCTATTAGAGCACATCTATTGATTGATAATATCTAATCAAAACTGCGATAAACCTAAACTATGCTATTGGTTGTTTCGTTGTTTCTATTGTTTTCAGCTTTATGTTTTAAAAATAAATAAATAGACAGATAAGATCCCTTACAATAATGCTAAATGAAACATTGATATGAAGACCGACCCGACGTTGTGAAGTGTATTAAATATTGTCAGTGATTTAAAAATGAAAAATCCATCGACACTGTTAACAAATACTGTTTGTTATGTCTTCTGTCACGAAATTTGTTAGTCTTCCGATTGTGAATTCCACAATATTCACAATACAAACTAGGAACAAGGAAAAGGCTCTATGCTGAGCGGATTTTTTGGGCTGTGAAATGATAATTGAAAAATCTGGAAATTCATCCCAGGAAGAGGATGTAAGAAACAGTATTTAGTAAACGCTTTCATTAGACTTTGTCTATTAAATGCATGAATTAAATCATTGACAATATTTATTACACTTCATAATGTCCGGTTGGTTTAGAATGCCGGAAAATGAGAACCGGAGAAATTTTAGTTTTTGTTCTTTCAATGTCAAAAGGAACAGGTACGTGGAAACTACTTCTCTTATGTTTTAAATTTTATTCTGTTTTAAATTCTTTCCTGCGAAAATTTTTATATAGTTGTTATGTAGTACTAAAAACAAAAGGATATATTCAATATCTTTGAAACATAAAAAAATTTAAAAAAAACGAAATTTGTAACAATTTGGAAGTAGCTAGCAGACAGAAAATCAATATAATTTATATGTACAACACATGTGCGGCATTCGGCACAGTGACCAGTTCGTCTGTACCAACCAATCAGTAATGTTTGAATCATCAGCATTAGCTATTTCATTTCATACATTTTGCTTTTCTTTATTGAAAGAGACAATCGAATCAGCAGTATTCCTTGAAAATTGTTATTATCGAGAAATAAAGCCATCACTAATACTAAATCTCAATTTTCGTTGTCATACCCACATTGCAGAAAAACGACGCGAAATTTTTTCTTAAAATTTTCCCTTATTTGACTTCCGCGTATGAGTAAGTCATCAAATCAAATTCAATTCACGTTCAACGTTGGCTATGGATCAAACAATTTTCATTGAAGGGCCGCGTAATATCGAATAATCCAAGGATGAATTTCTTAGATTTTTATCAAATTGACAAGTATAATTTATGTTTCATGAAATCTTTTCGAAAAACAGCTAGCTTACTAGTAGCGCTGATTTTTTCTCCTATTTCTGGAATGCAGTGAATGGTTCTTGACAGATAATTTTACTAAGTCTTGTTACCGTATCCTGGAGTTGGAATATGGTGATCATTTTTTCACTATTCCAATATTTTATCATGGTTTATTGATAATTGGTAAGGCCTTAATTCCGCAGTATGCGGGGGAATGAGTTAAGGCTTTTTTGACGTATATTTCCAGAGTCGGATTCAAATGTGATATACAAATTAGTAATGTTAGGCGACATATTTACCTCTCCTTTCTGCTCTAAATTGTGAAATAGAATTTTATTCCTGCTATATAACCAAAAAATTGCTGATGTGACTGTCTACACCACAGAATACTCAATCATGGTGCTTAAAGATTACGAAGGAAGTAATTAAAATTTTCCTAATTTCATTTAGTTTAGTTTTTCGATGGTTTGATGGTTCAGTGAAGTTTTCCTTTTCTTTTCATCAGCGAGATGGAAAAAAAGGAAGAGGATTGCACTCACGGTCTGCAGCAACAGGAATGGTATTGGGCGAATGCTTCCAAGGAGGAAATTGCTTCAGCTATATGCGTAAGCCTTGAACTTATTGCAAAGAGTTGTGCAGACCATATTTGGTTTTGTTTTGAGAAATGAAATTTGAAGGCGAGTTTATTGCCTGTAGTTGGAAGGAAAGCCTCCACGAGCAATTTAGATTCGGCTGAAAGAGCGACGTGCAGTCGAATTCATTTTTGCAGTTAAAGATTTTTTAAAATGTGGAAATGATACAATGCATTCCAGGACTGTCCAAGTGGTACATTTTGTGTACGTGATGCTTCAACGAAAGGAAATTATACTCTTACACTTAGATATGGTGAGGTATGTGCTTACATAAATTAAAATAGTTAAATTAGATGTACTTTTTCAGTTGTCTTTTGCAACAGTTGGTTATGGGCTGGATTTGCAATATAGTTTAGCTCCCGGTACCTTCTTTTGACATGTGGCCTTTTCATTAGCTGTTCATTAGCAGACGGACTGTAGTGAATAATCAGGCACTATTAGCAAATGATATCTTGGACAAATAGTACATATTGTAGAGGCTTTCCAAAATCAAGTACCGATTGGTGAACAAGTATTTGCTTGAGCAATAACCTTTTTGTTAGTTAATGTCTAGGTGTTATCGCGTAGCATGATACATGTCACGCCGTTACCGCTTGGTGGGTGATTCTTTTTTCACAAGCGATATTGTAGATTGCCTTAAAATCTATTTGTGATCTCGTATGTATGATGATAAGATTAATCTGTGGTAATTTACGGATAACAGCATAAGTGTAAATGGCATGAGGAGAGATTTGGTTTTATAATGACTAATGAAGTATTATAAACAAAGGCAGTGTATTGCCAATTGCCAATCTTATAAACGAAGAAAATTGTGTTGTAGAGGAATCGCTTAATAAGGATTATCGTTGCTGGTGAGCACTGTGGTTTTACGGAAGATATGTTAAAATTTGAATCAGTTGTGTCATTAATTGATTACTACCGAAGAAATTCCTTGTTGGAATACAATCGGCAGCTTTCTACTGAACTTCTCTATCCACTTCGTAAACCAAATTTCGAACAAACTTCTTGGGTTAGTTTCCGCTTTTTTGAAGCTTAGGAACAAGAAAGTACGTTAGGCTGCTATTTCTTTGTCTTTTCAGGTTATCAATGGCGTACGTAGTGTGGAACATTTGCTTTGTCAATTACGTGGTTTGCATGCTGCTCATTTACGCTTTATACGGCATGATGATCAGATTACGGCAAAGCTTGATTCGTTAAAAGAGGAATTGCAAAGAAAGCGACAAGCACATGCTGCATTTTCTGCTGCATACGCACTTTTCTTGAAACAAATGGAATTGCTTGATAGGTGATCTTTTCACACCATACTTTTAGATAACCTGTGGTTAATGGTCAGAGCTTCTTTTCTCATTTTCGCTGTGTTACAATCATTAAAAGTGAGTTTTTTAATATATGTTTAAATTAATATTCGTTATCGCGCCTGCATCAGCAATTAGAATTTCCAGTAGAGAAGCCGCTTCAAAATTTAAAACCAGTAATAGGAGATGTAGAAATGAATAAATTAAAGATGTAGAATTTTAATTCATGTAGCAAGCATATTTATTAAAACAGCGTTAAAATATGAATTGTTTTTACCTTTTTTACCACTCATCAGAAGCATTTTTTCTTTACTATCCAGCAATAAGCAAATGTTATTCGATGAAGCCGAAATTGCACAATCAAACAAAAATAAGGAGGCTCAGCAGAGGAGGTATGTTTATCAGAAGCGTTCGGGCTTTCACTACGATGTTCTAGGTGTTATTCAGATGCAACCGTACATTAAGCACAACTATATCATTCAAGAGAAAGAAATCCTGCTCAAAAGATTTCATTTTATATGGTAATCAGGACATCCTCTAGTCCGTTTTTGACGGAATGTTCGGTTTCTATACGATATCAAGTAATGTACGTAGAGTATGGTACTGATATCTTATTTATTCGACATTCGTTACACTAGTCATTATCGGCAGTGTATTAGTAACACTCGTCAGTTCTAATTTAATACATTTGTTCTTGTACTATAGGATAGCATTTTATATCTTGCTTGAAGTTAGCCGAGTGATGTTTTGTTTTACTTAAAAACTGCAGTGATTTGTCTTCAGAAGTGGTGTATAGAATTTAAATTTTTTGTATGATATCTTTGGAGCTGAAGTAAGTGAAGGGAAATATGGTGGATTTTAGATATTCTTAACTTCGTCTGAACGAGTTTGCTTCAATAAACAATATTCAAAGAAAATGTTTTTTAGATCAGAAAGTATACGCTATCAGCAGCAGCAAATGATTGAGCATATTGAAGCGATTGAACAAAGTATTAGAGAAAATGAGGCTGTGCACTGTAGTTTGACTCCGAAACTTTCGAAATTGCACAAGTAAAGTTTTAAATTTCTGTTTTAAAATGAGCTGATCATGGCACCATGCATTTTCGAACTTATTACGTAGTTCTTGTTCTACCTTCATTAACCTAATTCCTAACATTACTTACTTTATATCTTTGCTCGAGAGAAGATGAAATAACAATTTTGCTATATATATCATTAAACTTAGTCATTTTCAAAAAAAAAAAAATCAGTTGCAGAGAACTGGACATTTGTCAATTCCGTCTCTGTCAGCTTAATGTTTCTCAAACAGCAATGGATAAAGTGTTGCAAGAAGTGTCGCTTTTAGCTGATTTGGAGCAAGAACCACTGGCAAGAATATTACTTCAGTTAACACTGCGGTGGCAACCTGATAGATATCTTTCGCTTGATTGTACAAAGGTACTCAGCTTTTTCTAAGACTTTCTCTACTAACTGCTTTGAATAGAACCTAAGTAGTGCCTATTTATTGCCTACTTTAGCAATTTTCTTTAATACTTGTAATAATCAATTCTCGGATTTGCAGGATAGCGCCTTCAAAGTTATTCGGTCATTGATGGACTGTAATCCTCACAATTCAAGTGGAATATTTTTAATTCGCCCTAGTCAGTCCCAAACAGGTCACTATGCACTGACTATATCAAATGAAAATCATATATTCAATTGCTTGATTGAGTACAGGTAATATTTTGATCAATTTTTCCTGTAATGTGTTGAATATGTTTCGGTTCTTTCCAGTTTCTTTTTACAGAAAGGGAATTAAACATTGCGAACACCGCCTTCTATTGGTGTGCTTTTAATCCAATCTTGTTCAAGGTCTTTTTGAATTACTTGTTTTTTGCTTATTCAAGTTCTAAAAACAGCATCACTTTATTGTCTTGTTTTGCACTACTAAAGGACCGACATCCAGAGTGAATATAGCGTAGTAGTGATGTAACTGGAAAGACTAATAAGATTTTGAAGTGAAAATATTTCAGCTTTTCTTTAAACTTTTGAAATATGTTTTACAGAGATTTAAAGCATCCAGAATCGTCAGGATATGCATTTCTGAACACGAGATTATTTTTTCCCTCTTTAGTCGACTTTGTGCGATATTATAGTCATTGCTCGATGAAAGAACACAATGCTCAGTTAGATACCAAACTCAAAATACCAGCCTTCAAAGGCACATTGTGACCAGAAAAAAAAAGTCTCTATGTTTGTAAAACCTCACTTTATCGTGTTACTTGAGTCAATTTTGTTGCGTTACTCCTTCTCTCTTGTAGCTCATCGATGCTTACCTTCAATCAGTGAGTCACTCTTAATAGAAATATTCGTGTTTGACGATTATATGAGAGAGAGAGAGAGAGAACTGCTATCCCTTTTAAACACTGCCTCTGTTGCTTTCTTCTAACTGCTTCATCGATTCTAGATTTATTTTGGAGGGCTCTGTTTTTAGCTTCAGCTTGCCTCCAGACTATTTTCTTATTGAACAACAAGGAAAGAATTCGTTTTTTATGGTCACTTTTCGGGAATGCTAAACTTTATTTGCAGCAGTCGTTTGAAGTTTGTTTCGTGAAACGGGTCGTTAAACTTTTTTATTTGCCACTTCATACCACTGAGGTACATCAGAATTAATATTTGTGCCATCTTCTAGCTTCAGGCTTTGACATGACATTATACTGAGGTACCGGCAGCTCACTTAATCATCTCTAGGTAAAGAAGGCAAGTAGAGGCCAATCTAAATGATTTTTTTCTGGAAATCTCAGTGGATCATAACTAGGTGTGGACGTGATGCAAGCATACATAGTGCTGGACAACAAATCTATTCTTATGCTCAGTGGGGATTTGTAAAGTACGCTTTCGTCCAGTTCGTAGATCTGGTCCTGGGAACAAACTTTGAAATGTGCAATACTCTGAGCGAGTGAAAATTTAGCAGATAAGATCAAGCAACAAATTATGGAAATACCATAAGTTGGAAATTAACGAATTGGTCTTCCTGTTCGATCGATGAGTCCTACGTTTCGCGCAGCACTCCATTAGGCCAATCATGTGATCGAGAAAAATGCAGCAGTCAGCTTTTTTGATGAGATTATGAGACGGGGAGCGGAAGGAAGGGAGTTACAATAACGAAAATCTGATAAATTGTTACGGGATTATGTATGTTTTGGGTTCGTTTCCGTTCCTGCATTTGGTAGTTTATCAAATCTAACTCGTTGTGGTAAGTAGAGTTTTACGGCCAGTTTTGGTCTCTTTAATCTGATAGAATGGCGGCTTTTTTGTCTCCGTTTTGTCTGTGATATTTTTATGTATTATCTTCATTTATATGCCATTTACTTCATTTATATGCTACGTAATGTTTCATATTCCAGCTTATTGATTTTGTAACTTTGCATGTTTATATGTTAATATGATTTGCATGAAATGGTACATTGGAGTAAAATTTTCATCTCTTTTTGTTCCATTTCTGGCATTTCAGTGAAGTCAGATAAGAAAATTGTTAAAAAATATTAAATTTTGATGAGGAAATATATGAAACTGGTAAAGTAGAAAAAGAATACTGCCATAAAAATATGAAATTGTATTCGAACTACAAGAAGAAATACAGTAACGTAAGTTTATATAAGTATTTCTAGTTGAACTGCTTTTGGGATGTGGCTGATGGTTTCTTTTCTAGTTGATTGCTCAACATGTTCAAAGCGCTGATGTCTTCGATAATCATAACTAGGATGTTGATAGTATCGATGATATTGCTGATTGTAATTAGTCATGTTTTCATTCGTGATAGCAATTGTTATTGAATTATTTTTGCTGTTATTATCACTACTACTACCATTACTGTTTTTACTACTGGCACACAAATTTATATTTCTAAATGTTGAGAGAGTAGTTTCAGTGGCTGTTATTATTTTTTTTGCAGTTGCTTTGGAGGGTTTTGTGTTTGTTTGGACGGTTGATTTTGCATGTGTTTTGAAAATATATCGTTGAAGAGTACGACGGAATGCTAATGAAAATGTCACGTAAATGGCAAAGTTGCATGACGAGTTAAAAACAACAAGGACATTGGATGCGTCCACAATGTAGTTGATATAAGGTCCCATTATTTCACCAAGACGAACCTCGAAAACATTTAATAAGAGTGCTGCTACATTGCAAGCGATAAATAATAGCACCACTAATATCTGTAATTAAAATTATGAATTAAAAAAAGCTCTTGATTGTTTGAAAAATTGCCAAAATGTTTTTTTTTAATCGTAAAATAGTTCTGTTCTCTCGATTTGAAATTCCCAATCTTTTAAATTAAGCAACAAAGTTTTCAATGTATACGATTTAAAAGAAAATTGAAGGATGGTGGAATATTTCCTTCTATCATCGGAATCAATTTGAATAAATAAATCTGAGCAAGAATAAAATTTCTGATCAGTTTGGAACGAATCAAATTTAACGCAGGATTTTCCTGATAAATCTGTTTGAACACAGTCATATTAAATTAATTTTTGTTGATTTTGTAAAGAATAATCAGCTGATAAAACTAACCAAAGCAATGGTGTCACCAGAACCACCGCCACCTTTCTTAAGAACAACCGATACGCCAATGATACATAAAGTTAGAATTATCAATACAATGAGAGGGCCTATGGCGAGAAATATCGAGTACATATATTTGTAATAAATAAGCTTATAACTGAAATTTTGCATCCAAAAACAATGAAGTTGAATTGAATATTCAGATTCTACAGATTTTTTCACATATCAAATATTAGGTACGAAATAAAAAGTCTTTTTTCAATTCTTAAATTGAGAAAAGACGATGAATTTGAAATGTTTCAGTCGCGATAAAATAACCTAACTTAATCAAAGAAATTAATGAGGACATTTTTAATCAATCGGTTAACTGTCCATCCTTAAAAATGCAATTTTACCAGACATTCAAAAATATTATAAAATTTAAGAGCCAAACAAGCATTAGATAGTTAAAGTCAAAATTTTAATAACTGTTACCTCGGCAGAAACCTGAATGGATCGGGACAAACTTCAAGTGAACGACTTTCGAAATGAGTGTGCCAACACTCCAAAACAACGGTTTCAAGGCAATGTGGCACATTGTACAGAACACTGAATACCACAATAAATAGCATCATACATTTGACGAAAAACTTCCGAGAGACAACTTTCCGACAACTATCCGTTAGACATACCTAAAAAATATTTGAAGGGTTTATATTAGCAACATTTTTATGACATCATGCTTGTTTCATACTGGGTTAATTTAAAGAAGAAACTGCTGAGGTTCATATGGGATCTTTATTTTACAAGTGAGAACAGAGTTCAAATATGAGCTCAGGAGATTTAATTAAATCTAAGAATTTCAAAACCATACAAATCACTTCACTCAAAAATATTTCGCACTGCTCTCAGGCTGTAATAAAAATGAGAATGAGTATTTGGAAGGAGATATCAGGATGAAGAAAGACAAAGAGATGAAGTCAAGAGAAATCAGAAAACTAATCCCATATCAGAAGTGAGTGCAATTGGCGCATTCATCTCCCATCTTTGTATTTTTTTGAAAACTGAACCTACACAGGTGAATCTAATATGAAGTATTTGCTGCAAAATGACTGAAGAGATTTTTGCTTACTTGAACAAAACAATCAGCAGCAGCCATTAGTGTGAAGTAAACAGAACATGTTTGAGCGGTCATACCGGCTGGATAAACAATCGGTGAAAATGCTCCAAACATTAAGGATATATGCAACGAATAACGCCTGATAATATCAAAACAGAATAAAAATATTGCTGTACATATTACTGCACAATCGCTACATCCAAGTGCGCATAAATATAAATTAGTTGATGAGCGCATTTCTGAAACATTTATTTTAACTACTAATTTCAGATTAATTGCAGTTAATAAATTTTAAACTTCAGTAGCAAGTTACAGCAAAAAGTTTGCAGATCCATATTCTCTTCCCTTGGTACACGCAAAATATTTTTTTTGATAGCAGTACTTATTAATAGCTAATTTGTGCTACGGTTGCTTTATGTTTAATTTGGATTTTGATTTGTTTGTAAAACAAATTATTCGGCTCAAATGCAACAGAAAAACTAAAAAAAATTCATAAAGCACTGATTTTTCTTGGAAACTTATCACCAGAAGTAGTAATACCTGGTCGACAATAGATGAAAGCACTTATTCCGTTACCAAGTAGGCCGCAGAAACCGATTAATGGAAGGATAAAACCAATAAGCACCAGATTATAAATAATGTAAGTTGAATCAGATGCAAATATTTGACACATTTCACAATGTGGTAAGCATTCCGAAAAATTTGGCCATGCAATGATGCGCTGAGAATAAAGTAATTGAAGTTGTGTAAATGTTTCATTTGATTGTGAACAATCAGAGGGAAATACTGCTGGATCTAAATAATCCCCTCCTTCGTCCATTGTTCGTTAGTCTGAAATGAATTAAATTTTTTTCCATTATTAATTTACTTATCGTAAAAATATTAAAATAATTGAGGATTTGTTGAACAAAAGTCAATAAATAAACAAGCTTTCTCTGTGTGCTTATTTCTTTATCTTTAAACTTATTTGCATTAAAAAATGGTGGATTAAGTGGTGAACTTTTTGTTGTAAAAAAATATATATATATCGGAAAAGATATAAATAAAAGTTTTGATATTGCTATTAATAAAATTTATGTATTAATTCAATGAAATTATGATTACTACATGTGGTGATTAAGATTTTTAATATTTCCATATCAGAAATTAAAAAAGCTTTTGCTTAGTAACATGTAAATTGCTTGGAATGGAAATTTGTTCATCTATAAGGAAGTGTTTCTGGCAAACTACAACAACACCATTAAAATAGATGAATTGAAAAGTTATTATTCTCTTGCTTCAATGTTGAACCGAGTAATAAATCAAATCTCATAACTAACCTATTTCATTTCCTTTTTAGACTATCAACTTATATTTTTCTAAAGCAAAAAACAATTGGATTGAAATTATGCTTTTCATCCAGCGTAAGAAAAACAGTCTTTATATCTAAAATATCATTTGCAGAGACTGACATTATCAACGTTGCTTCAACAGTGCAGATAATTGTAGCATTGTTAGTATCAAAAGAGAACTTCTTGTCATCAGTAGCTCTTTTCATTCAGAAAACTGATTCTAATGAAACTGTAAAATTATTTGTGATATTTAAGGTTTGATTATTTTTTCAAAAAAATAATTTTGCAGTTTAAATAAAAATTCTTTTTATAGCATAATTTCTCAATAGATTTTTACTTTCACTGTAAGAAAAAGATCGCGTTTTGAAATTGCCTTTATAAACATCTGAAATGGTTAAAAAGTTATAATCCAATAAAACACACGATCAAATTACCATTCAGTTCATCGAAATAACATTAGAAATTGTCGCAGTAAACTGCCACTAATCATTTTATGTGTTATAAATCAAATATGGCAAAGAATTTTTTTTGGAAAAAATTGCTTTTATAAATAGAAACGTCTGTCTATTCTTCACTATCATCTTATAGATTAGATTTAACAACAACTCTAAGATTGTAAGGGAATTAAAAATGTTCATGGCATGTTGTTCATGAAATCTAACCTTCGATAATTTTGCACTTTTTTTTTCAGATGCCTGATCAAGGTCTTTGGATACTTTATGAGTCATTCTTTTGCTTGACAAGTGAATATATGCGTGCTTGAGAATTTGAAATTTGAGGATTTGAACCAATGTTCGAATTCTCAAATTTCGCTTTTTATTTTTGATAAAAGCGTCAAAATTCGTGAAACTTTATATTTAGATTTTTTTTGGTCAGGATAAAGAAGAAAGCATTCAAATTACCGGTCTCAATTTAAAGATCTAACTTTCTATATGAAGAAAAAAGATTGGTTATCATCTTTTTCAACTTCATTTCGTTTGAGTTATTTGTAATTAAGCACAAATAATTTCATTCGATCTTTTTCGTGAAGTTGAGTGTTGAACGAATATAAATTATAATTTAATATTTGTCAGCTAAGCAAGTCTCAATAACTAGTCTATTTCAAAGTGGAAGAATTTTGTATTATCACAAATGCTAAGGTATCCAGTCATGTATTGCAATTTTTTTTCAGGAAATGCACCGCAATTACCAAATATCAATATACTTGAGGAGGATAATGGTACTAACCCGTCAAACTGTTTTCGTTTCGTTTATCTCTTGATTATACCATTTGTTATTAATTTCATAAATTAATCAATTTTTAAACTGCTTTATTTAATAAATCTGAAACGGTTTAAATTAATGGGATTGCATTTTGATTAATAATGATTTTAAACATTTCTAAAACAAAGTTGTATATCAAACAAACAATAAGCAATAATAATGAAAATTCAATTCTAGCTATTTTCATGTTCAAACCGCAAATTAGAGGAAATGATCTGTTTGGCGTATAATACAAACTACAAATCTTTTCATTAATTGTATTTCTTCATTGTACAGTAATCATTTTTTCATCATGAAATTTACAGCGAACGTTGTTTATAAGTGAAACAGGCGAAAAATTATTTAAAGAAATATTACTCTTTACTTTAACAAGTGAACATTAATTTTATGCAATATATCTTCGATTAATGAATCATGGCAAAGACATATCAATTTTTGTCATTCCTGTTATTTCAATTTATTGAAGAGATAACAAAAAATTGAATCAACTTATAAGGAAAAAAATAGAGATAAGAAGAGTGAAAGGGAATGAAAGTTGAACTTCATAGTTCTTTTCTCGTAAATTAATATTTTGATCGGTTTTCCACTGTTGTAACTAACACTATACCCTGCATAAATTATTTTGTAGCCTTGATTGGCCGAAGCATTCCTTATGATAGCAAGTAACTTACAACTTGTAATTGCAAGCATGAAAATAAAAATACTTATGTAATAATGATTACGTCAGAAATTCAAAAAGTTCGAAATTTAGTAATTCTTCCACTTTTGAAATTTGATTATTCTTATAAAATACGAACATCATTATTATTGATGACTCTATTAAGAAGTCCTATTGAAAAGATAATTCTTAACTCTAATTTTTCTCTTTTGCATGATTGAAATGATAACCCAAAGTTTTTAAAATTTTTTCTCCTCTATTTCTTTGATTTACTATTTCTCTTCTTATTTCTATCTTTTTTCTTATTCTCATCAATTTCAGTTACAAGACTTTCGTAAGTAGCTTTTATTTGGTCTAGTTTAAAATTTCAATACTTTTTATATTCAAAAACTTATTTTTATGACATTATTTCTATTATTAGAGCTGCTTTTAAAACTTCAATTGAATTTTATTTACTTATTTTCAAGATTTTGTGAGAGTATGAGAGGTTTTGTGAAATGCACCATTGGGTATAATCTAATTTCTGCTGCAAAGCAATATATATTACAAAGGATTCTTCTATCAATTATTTTATTTCATATCTATTGATATTAAGTAACTGGAAAATATCAATGAAGCATAGTTTCAAAATTTGATGATCAAATTAAGCAAATATTTAACAAGAAGAATCGATACATAATTGAAATGTGTATTGGATGATCGTAATGACTTACTGACTTATATGAGTCGTTTCCTTAATTAGTGGCTGCTTCATTCATAGCTCCACCCATCTTTGGAATAAAAGGAAAAAAAAACTCCTCGCTGTCATGAATATATTCATTGCAGTGTAATGAAATTTGAATTGAATCTTCAGAAATCTTTAACTGTAACACTTTTAATCAAGTGATCACCAATACTTCTGATGGATGACGATGTAATCAATATCATATCATTTTGAATTTTGAGTCTATAAAAAATTCAGAATTCAAGCAAATCAATTACATATGATACTGACTACTTCTAGTGCTTCCATACATTTAAAAGAAAAAAAAACCTCACAATTTGTTGAATTAAAAATAGACTGGGAAATTTTTTTGTTCCGTATGGAATAAATTCATGGACAATAGCTAAAATTTTGGATAATCTTTTTTTGGAAGCGGATAAAAATTACATATAAAAAAAGTTTTGGAAAATTTGATGAAGTGTTTTATCGTTAGAAGCGACAGTAACTTTTGCTTGCAATTGATGTAACTCATCATTGGATATAAAAAGTGGCATTTATCATTAACAGTCAATAATTATCCAGACAATTTTCATTAATTTTTAAATTCTTCGTGAGTAAGAGTGTACATGTAGTGCATTCCTTCCTTATCAACTTCATTATTCATATCCCTTACATTCTATAACGAATATAAAATATTTTAAAAATTTCACCCTTAATTTTTACTTCATTTTGTTATCTATTTATACTACTAATGTAAGATGTTCAGAAAACGAGTAATTTTTTAAAGAAAAAAATTAAATGGCTATAACTTAGCTTCAAATCATAATTGTAAATTTTTATACTGACAGCTATGTTTAACTGGAACTGGAGGAAGAGCGGAAATTAATGACAAAACAAAGAATTGATTATTGTTAGTGCAATTGCATTTTATAATAAAATGCTTTTTAAAAAAAGGTCAACGCTGAGATATTTCGAATAATGTTCAACAATGATTTATCACTTCTGATTTAAATTTTTCTAGTTCCAAGAAACCTCATACTTTCTAGACAACTCGTAAATGCAGTAGAAAAAGCATAATTCTTCATTAACTGGAGCTGAATTTCTTTGATATTTTTGTGAGCATTGTGCCCTCCTAAGCTGTAATTCTGGTGTAAATGACAGAGAGAGAAAGAGAGAGAGAGAGAGAGAGAGAGGAGAGAGAGAGAGAGAGATCTATTAAGTCTCTATTAAAAAAAACAAAAGTGCATGTGAGAAAATGGGAAAGATGAGGAAAATTTCATGCAATGTGAATAAGAAATGATAAGCTTCAATAAACTGACAACGAATTCATTATTGGTAGTTTGTTCTGATAAACGAATTCATATGAAAATGCTAGCATAAATATTGCTGGTTGTTTTAAATATATCAAGGAGATATGACCCTCTTGAATTGTGTCACATATGCTCATTTGGTATCAATCCGTCCTAGTAGTGACGACCATCAACAGTCAATTTGGAAGTAAACAATTGCAAAATGAAATCAATGTTCATAAATTGTCGCACGCCTGAATTTCTGGCCCTATGCTTTTTCATATTGAAAATATTTTGAATGAGAATAAAAATTAGAAAAAAAAAGATATAAACAGAAGCGAGGTTTAGTGCTATTATTAATAGTCTAAGTTTTTAAGAATGTTATAACTTTTTTTAAATTATTATAAGCCGATAATGTTCAGATTCATCAAATGAATTTTTTTTGAAAGAATACAATTTGAAAGTCAATAATATCCCGTTATTATAGAACTATGAAATTTAGTTGTAATTCTGAAGATAGAAATCGAACTATGATAAGTTTTTCACGCATCTCTTATAAGGAATTTTAGCTACAATTAATTTATACAGTTGCGTAACGTTGTTTTACGATGTGTGTACATACCGAAAGATTGTTTAGATATTCAGCTTCGAATTGTAATGCTGCGAATACATTACATTTTATGATAACTTCATGCAAGTTACATACAACATTTGGTTAACGAGACCCTGACCTTATTGCTGTCAAATGCAACAAAATATGAAATGTAAAACTCCTGTCACCTTATTCAAATTTCAAAGGTCTAAACTTTTCTCAGTTTTCTACAGTGTTTTAAACTGATTAATTGCTTGATTTCCTTTTAATTAAAAGTAAAAATTTTGCTTAAAACTAAGAAAGTAATTCTATTGATTTCACAAACAAATTAATCCAAAATGATTTTTCTTATTGTTTCGAAAAAAATTTTTAAAAAAGATTACGCTCGAAGCATTCATGCTTAGTAATAGTTAATCTATCAGCGTGTAAAAGTTTCCCCATTTAATTCTCTTTTTTTTAAGAAATATAGTGGAATGTATTTTGAATCTGTACCATTTTTTTATTATTAATTAACATTTTCTTATGAAATTCATTCAGGAGAGAATGAAACGAACAGTTGAAATTTCAAAAGTCTAGGTAGCTCCATATTCGGGATTTCTCGTTAGATATCAAATATCTACACATCTCACTTATCAAAAACTTAATATCACTCAAGTAATGACTATATCAACTTAGTTTAATACGAGAAATATTCTTCTCATTTGTGCTGAATGTTCATAAATAATTCTTTGCATAATTAATATTTTCCCTCAAGCAACAGGGATAAAAAAATTTTAAATGAGATGATTCGCATTGCTGCACTTTAGTCGTCATAAGACAATGGTGATTGTGGGCTCTGTGAAAATTGAGCTTAGTTGGTGCGGGGTGCCACCGCAGTGAAACATTATCGATAATAGCCAATTTTGAGCTTTATGACCGCAAAAATTGAATCCTACTTTCATTCTATTTTCTTTATATCTTGTCAACCTGAATATCTATAAATTATGACCAAAAAAAAAATTATATCGAGCTAAGTTAAAAAATGTCAATACCCACCGAAAATCACTTGTTTACTTTGAGCTTCCATTTCCGAAAAAGTGCCGTTTCTTTTTACATGTCCTGCAATTTTTTTTAGTTCCAATCATTTCAAAAATTTGAGCAAAGAAATGAAATTTGTCCAAATGCAAAGTATGAAATTTCATACAAATATATAAATACACTAATTTTATGAATATGGAGTAATCATCTCTTTGAGGTCATGAACTTTTCTTTGATTCATAATACTAATTCATGTACTATCAATTGATAAATGATGAAGAAAGAATTCCTGGATTTTCTATCATCCATTTCACGTTATCAAAAATAGCATATTATTTCTTAATTTTTCTATTTAAAGTATCCCAGCAATATTAGAAATGGGTGTAAAGTTTTGAGTAATTAAGCAAGTAATTAAACCGGAATAAAAAAGGAGTCTACTAAAGTGTCATAATCCAAAAATTCGCACAAGATATTTCTTAATGAACTTTGGAGGTTGCTCAAAATTCAGAAACAATAACTAAAAAGAATTATTTAATTTCAGTAACAAAAATAAAAATGATTTTGATATCAACTGTCGAGACCATCAACTGTCCAAAAGTTGCGTACATATTCATGGATGTATACTCATCCCCGAGTTTTTATTACAAAAAATTCAATTAGTGTAAATTTTGTTATGATGAATTAAACTGAAAACCGAAGGACTGTTTTGACCAGAAAAAAATTATCTTTGTTTTCAATTAGGCAAATAACAAAATGATAACACCAAACAAAATGTCATTACACCACCGAACCAAGAAAACCAGATAAAGCGGAAAATAAGCTAACGAAGAATCCGATCTAGGCAATTAGTCTGCATGTGCATATTTAACGAATTCATTCTACCGAGAGAATTTCATTAATATTCTCCATGACTTAATTTTGTATGGAGTTAAAAATGTTATGCATCATAATATTTCGTCTGCCATATATAATAATCAAATCATCATATATAATAATCAAATCACATAACAAATCATTATGCTTATCAGCTCCTCATCAAAGTATCACATTGAATGAATATCGGTTCAACTACACTGCTGTATGGTAGAGCACCAGTAACATCAATATTGTTTCACTTATCTGTTTGAATCCATGAATGTGTGTATAAATCATACGGATGAAAATAGATGAGTGATAATTGATTAAATCGATTGGTTAAAAAAGCAAACAGAAATTTTGAATACAGTTAGACAAATTGCTTGGAATTTTCTTTTTCCATAATTTAGCAAGATGAAACTTTTCAGATTTTATTCACAACTCTTTGATAAAATTGATTATCGCATTGTTAATCCCGTATGTGAACTGTTATCAAACATTTAAAAATTGTTAGGTAAGATCAATAGCTTCCTGTTACAGTTATCCATTTGTTGCACCGTTTTACTTGCAATCCAAAGAAATTAAACCAGTGATTGGATTTAACTTCCTTATTTAAGTACCATTTTAAAATTGCTAACCGTGAGACCATCCAATTTAACTTAGTTCTAAATTTTTACTAAAATGAAAATAACACACCTGATACAGATGCATGTATGTATTGCTTTCATCTCACTAACACAGCAATAAAAGTGATGGATAAGCAAAATTGTCTGTTATTTTAAAAAGAGATAACAAAATTATAATTCAGCAATAATTGCATTTTCTATTGTAACAAACAGTGTTGAACATAGCAAACAATGAAAATAATTTGAAAAATACAGCATCAATCATAAATGAGATAAATATAGTACGAGGAAAAGTTGCTGATAAAAATCCTGCGAAAATTGATAGCCTGAAGTGAAATAACGGAAAGGAAAAAATCCTTCACAACTGCTTTTCCTTTCTTCCAGAAAAAATTGCAAGTGTAAACTCCAAATAATATTATTATTTTTCTTTCTTGAACATATTTTTCTCTGTTGATAATTGAATGACTATAGGGGAGAAGCGTCAAATTTCAGCTGAAAAGTAGTAAAAGAGATGAAGAAAGGAAGAAATAGAAAGAAAAAAGAGGAAGGAGTAAGAAGTGGACAACAGAACCAGAAGAACCAAAAGAAAAATTAAGCGCAATTTTGATGGTTTTTTCAGCAAAGCTTTCAAGAATTAGTGTTTTGATTGTTAAAATCATATGCGTTATAATTTCTTAGAATAGTTAAGTCGAAATTCCATTAAAAAGCATTTTAAAAAATTTATCAATTAGAACACAATAACTTTTTATTAATTTAAATTTCTCCCTTTGATTTGGTCAAAAATTGCTGAAATTGATGTTTGAAGATTTGAAATGAATTCATAACGTTTTAATTTATTATAATTTAATTTAATCAACATTGAATTTGATTTTCGATCTTTCTTAGCTTTTGAGAATTTAGTTAAAACCAAGTTAATTAGATAAATGGGTGATTATGGCAACAGAAAAGCACCAAAATTGTTAGCTCAGTTAATTACTATATGCTGTTAACAAAAATTGCATTAATAGAGGCAATTGCTCTTCCAGTCGTTTGAATTAAACGACAGCTCCAGAGAGCAAAGCAAGAGAGTTTTCCTTTAAAAGTGTAGAATAACAAAATAACTGGCATTAAGGATACAACGAAAAACAGACATGCATAATGTTGTTGACTAATGTTAATCAAATTTGCTTTCTTTTTTCACTCATTTTTATAAAAAACTCTAATATTTGCTCCTATTTAGAAATTATTTCAACATGTTTGCGATCTTACAATCTTGCTAAAACAAAACAATATAGCAAATTTTTTATTTAGGTTTGATGACTTTTTTATTTGCCCGCTATTTGTAATCTAAAGCAGATTTATAAATCACTTTACTTATTTTCCAATCATTTCGTCCACTTTACGGTACTTCACAGTTTTCATGAACTGATTCCTAAAAATACGAACAAAAATGGTTCGAAATTATGAGAACGCAATAAAATAAATGCTTTCAGAATGACAGTGAAAACTTTTAACTTCTTCCCAAAATATATCTTTACCTTTTGATTTCAATTTTAAAAAAAAAGATCAGGAAATGTTGACGTACCGGATTACGAATTTGTTTTAATAAAATATTGCTATTTGGTGAAAGAGCTAGAAGCAGCCAGTTTAATAATCCGGCTACTGCACGGATACCACTTAACAAACGCCAAGCAACCAACGGGTCCACAACTATAATATCCTGTAATGATAATCTACTTATATCCTCCGTAATAAAACAAAAAGTTAATGTTTTACCTTCTTCTGATACTGTTCATTATGAGCAGATATTTAAATTGTAAACTTTATTTTGAAAGTTAAATGAAAGTTTCTGGCATTCTGATAAATGAAGGAAAAAAAAACTGAAACAGTTATAGAGGAACCCAAATCTCTTCTCGTTGTTTCATTGGTCCTGCAAGCCATTCATCATATAACGCTGATACCAACGTAGCTACTGTACCAATTAAACATAATAATATATCTAAACCACCACTTTGTAAGCTTAATCCACGTTTCAAGTTATCCATTAAACTAGAACTTATTTCAAGCCTGGAAATAGTTTTGTGAAATTATTGGGAACAATTAACTCTTAAATTAATTTGTGAAATAAACGAACATTTGAAAAAACCTTGACAATTTTTACAAATTATGTTTTTATTATCAATAATTTATGAATTATAACGAAAGACAAAATCATAAAGCACTTGTCAAGTGCTGCAATGGTGCTAATCACAAAGCATGCGTAGAAGGTAGCTTGAATTGGCATCGCCAACCATGTGTAACCTTTATGAAGTATATCCTGAAAAAATAACGATAAAAATTTCGGATAATTAAATAATTATATACTTGATTTAATCCATCTAACATTTTCTATTCAAAAACTGAAAACGCAGCCTTAAAAAAATTAAAAATCCACTGTCATAGAATAGAGAGAAAAGAAATCGATAATAAATTAAAATTTACAATATCGGCAAAGGCGAAAGCAAAAACAGCATGAAAAGTGCCGAATCCTGATAAAAATCCTGAAAGCAAAAGATTCATAACAGGAAAATGAATTTTTATATATAAATGTGATATGAAAAAACTTTTATATAAATGTTTTAATAATGCCTGATGATTGCATTAAGATAGGAAAAGCCTTATTCAAAAAAGTATTTGAACATAATTAGAACTACATTTACCTTGTATGATGAACGATATGTTGTGAAAGGTAGTCTGAATTGTCAAAGCTGCGTGAACACTTTCTGATGGAGTAATACTCACAAAATCATCCGTTCGTGCTTCCAACATCTTTTCGTACTGTTTACGATCCGTTTGACGGAAACTTTCTGAAAAAAATAAATATGCTGAAAATTTGTCAATGTATCAAACAGTTATTGGTGGTAGACATTTTTTATAAGCACTTTATTTCATTTTTCAAAACATCTTTTGAATTGAAAAAAAAGGATAAAAGTGAACAGAATTCAAATTTAGAGGACTCAGTAAACGAATAATCAAAAAACAAACTGTCATGCTGAACGAACACATCGCACACCGGTTGGCTAAGAATCGCTGTAATTGTATCATTTTTGCCTGCTTCTTCATCCTTACTTTTTTGGATTTGTTTCAGCATTACCTGCTCGATCATAGTAATCCTCTAAATACTTGCATGTAACGCTAAAATTTTAATTAATTAATTTGTTTATTAGGTTACTTTTTAATTGATTGTGAGAAAAAATGAGTTATTTTATAATACATGACTTATCTCCACTGTCACCCTGCTTATCGTAATGATTCAACATCAGCTAGTGTTCAAAGATTGTTTGGATTTAACAGTTGAAAAGCAAATTACAAAACCAATAGTACGATTTCATTAAAAATTAGTACAATTGAAGACAAGGCACTTCTTAATGCTCAAATTCTATAGGGTTTAAAGGCATATCATACATATACATATATATATAGTTGTGACGATGATAACCTTTAATTTTCAAACAGAACTGTTTTAAGGGTTATTCATTTGCTTCCTTATAATTATCAAGCAAGCACGAAACAATGAGATGCATTATGATAAGAATCACTTTTACATCGGTCCATGTAATAATAACTCTTCCCCCTGCATAATATGTAAAACATTATATGTTAACCTTCATACCTGCGCGAAACAATTCCTCAATAAATGAATGTATGAGAGAACATTCCTGTTACCTTGGCAACCCTCGTCTGTTCCATTAAATCCTTTTACGGCTCTTTTTTTGATTTTGTTAGCCTTTTTTTTACATGCTCAATTGCAGTCTTTCTGAATTAACTCATGTCAACAAATTTATTATACATAAATATTATAAAATAAAAATTAACTCACTCGCAAAAATCCAAGGACCCAAATTTTATAACTCAACAGTCCTCGTTTAGGTTTATCCATTTAAAATATTTCTTAATTTTAAAATTTCCGATAAAGTTATGCTGTCAGCGTAATCGTTAGAAACAATCATTTCATGCCTATGCTCTGAAAACTCTAAATTTCAATTCATCCATTTATATTGTTCAATTAGTTTCTTATTCTAAGACTAATTAATTGATGAAAATAACACTCCTATCCAAGAAAAATAAAACTTACCCAAGAAAATATTGTAACAACGGAGCCAACATACTTTCTGGATATACCATAAGGCGACCGCTTCTAACTCTACTCATTATAGCTAATAGGATTTTATCGTTATCTTCATCCTAGCGTGATTAAATACTCTAATGTACTCACTGAGGTCTTACTCACTGAGAATTAAAAATACTCACTGAGATCTTATCCGCCATCAGTTTGATAAACTGTCAGTGATATGTGTAGAATGAGTGATTTTAGGGTCATTTAAGATAAAGATTTATGACAATAAAGAATGTAATATATATGATACTTCAAGTGTTACGGGTCAATGATAAATTTTTACTAATTGCCTTAATTTCATAACAATAGCATGAGTTTGATTAGATTAGCTTCTTTAAAATCCATTATGGTTTCATGACATTAACAATGTTGTCCCTGAAAGGCCTAAAATGAAGATAAAAAAGAGATAGAGAATTTGCGATGCAAATAAGTGTACTTTTGCTGTATTTGTGGTTTATTTGTTCCAATCTCCTGACAGGCTATTTGATATTGGAAGTCAATTCATTTACAGTTAAATAGATCTTCGTTTTTAATATAAAGGCACCATCTTCAATAATTTCGCCATGAAGTTGGATAGTTAAATACTGCTTAATTTGATATATTCGACTCTTCCCTATGTTATAGCACTTGTAACGGTGGTTTCAGTTCTAATTTTTTAATTTTGCTTCTTATTTGACTACTATTAATTATTCAGCTTGCAGCTTATTGATTTGAATAATAAAATGACGAAATATTTCTACGAAGTCATTGAACCAAACTTATAATCCATGCATTAATCACATGGATTCAAAATAATTAATTTAAAATAAATGATTTTGAAATTTAAAGCACCTGCAAAACATTCCATTTTTTTTTACTTACAAAGACGCAAAAACAACCACCGCTTTTATCGCCAACAAATAGATAATCAGGTGTAGGAAAAGTGTTTTAAACTTAAATGGAGCATTCAAGCTCGAACCATTGGTCCTGAGGAGGAATTTGAAATTAGGGTAGTGAAATTTCATGTTTTTCCAACTGAAATTAAATGCTTCATATGAAAGCTTCTCTATCATTCGTGATGGGGAAATATGGTTTTGTCTAGGAATGAAAGTATTTGATCGATAAATTCTGGACAGAACGAAGTTCTACTATAACTTTCTGCCAATGTAATAATTTACATTAAAAATGGGGAATTCATAATCTACCTGGATCATATTTCAGATTTCGGATGAACCATTGCATACCTCTCGAATAACTGGGCCCAGGAAACTAATTTCATAATTTACGATTATAAAATCTATTCTTGGGTATTCATTTATTGATGCTGTTTTATTAATTCAAGTGTAAACCTCTTCTAAAACACTTAAAGTGAAAGAGAATTATTGTTGACATCAGGGAATATGAATAATTTGTTCAAGCTTAGCTCTTCCTGTTATATGTGATTACTAGCTGCCTCAATCTTTAAACTACTCCGTTAGCTCTTTCCTAGACTATTTCAACTTATATTACTACTTTTTGATATTTATAAAATTTCGCACACAGTATCTGTTGCGAAAATAATGCATAATTTACGTGTGTTTTTTGATTTTTCGATTGATTCATTCTTCGCCAACAAATTTTCGAGTACACTTTCGATCACTACTCTTCTTAACGCAAACTTTCATTTGAGTAATATGCCGATATTATTATAAAGTGTAATAAGCTTCAGATAATCCTGATTTATTACGAAAAACAATGATCTCATCGTATTTCGCAGGAAAGCCATTGTTTCAATTTTCATCACATTTTCCTTTGTCATTAAAAATGGGAACGTGTATGATTTAAAAATTTTAAACATGATGTGGCAGATAGAATAAAGTTCTTCTTGCTATTGCTTTTAAGCATAATCTGGGAAATGTATTTCAGGAAAAAATGAGTGAATCGTTTCCGGAATGTTAGAATTTTAGAGATGGCATAGAAAATAGATGGTGAAAAATGTTATTACTAAATGAAAAGCTCTTGTTTTCATTCTGCAACTGAATGAGTTGGAAATAGATGATCATGAAATATGAAATAATTTAACAAAGGCGATCGATTAGGAAAAAGTTATCTGATTATATTACTTGTACTTTTTCAAGAATTTTTTCAATTCTGTCTTGTATGTTGAATGGAACGCAAAGATTATTTAGAAGATAAAATTATCTTATGAGCGATGAAACTGTTCTTACATCAAACATCATTTAATACAATTAGTTACTAACAAATAATTTTTATTGATTTCATTTTGAAATAATGTAAATTCTGAATGCTTGAAAAGCTGATTTATGCGAATAATATAATGGAAGCAAGTTAACAAATCTTGTCAATTTTATAATGGGATTAAGCAATAAAATTGTTGTAAAACTCCGTAATCCAGGAATTATTTTGAAGAATTCTGAAATGCTTGACGCCAATAAAAATCGTATGGGAATGACAGGAAATGAGGAAGCAGTCATTGTAATCTTGAATTCAAAATTTCATTTATCATAGTAAGAAGTAGTAGGGTGCCGTTGTATTCCTCAGAAGCGCTAATCCATAATGTCTCTGGCAAATTATTGAAGTACAGATACATACACACACATACACACATACACACATACAAATAACATACACACACACATACACACACATACACACACATAC